CAGTGGAAACTTCATTTCACTTTTTAGGAAAACACTTGGAGCAGAGGTTACCAAACAGGTAAACCTCAGCTGTCCCATTTGAGTGCTTTAGCGATTGCAATGAATTGCCTGCCCGACCCACTTGGCTCTATTTCATACTATTGTCTGCTCACGGTGATTAACTGCCTGCGCTTGTGGCTCGGATGATTTCTGCTATGTGTTGAGAGCGCGGCTGCAGCCAGCGGACAGGACTGTGTGAAGGGGGCGGCTACCAGGATTGGAGGGTCAGCTGATCGGCTCTGAGGTGCGGGAGATTTATGACCCCCCAGAACAAAGCTGTGTCTGCAGAGGGACCATAAACCATAAATCAGGGAGAAGTGGGTCAGATTGGGTCAGTGCTCATCTGCTCACTGCAGATCTGCTCTCTCTTTTCCTAAAGGTGCTCTTTTTTTCCTCTACCTGACTATGTGACACTTTTAGTGACTCTTCCAGTCTTTTCTCCCAGACAAGCAGACCTGTTAAGTGAATTTACTTATTCACATTTTTTATTTTCTGTGCGGTTAAATTCAGATATATTCAGCTGTCAATCACATTTGCTAATGAATTCCTGTTTTCTAGGCCTATTTTAAAATGCAATTAGCTTCTGTAAGTGAATCACCCCTAATCCTTTTATTATCTCCAGCTATGTTAACACTGTTGGCCTTTAGTCTCTCCTCATCTTAATCATCCTAATTATACCATGTTTGTCTTTTTAAGAGGCTGATGAGAATGAAATGGCATGTTCTCATTTTGGCAGCGACTTGTTACTGATTGTACACGAGGTATTACACTCTGTCTCATTCCAGTCTGTTTGATTCTGATCGCTGGTTTGACTAGTTTTGTGATTTGTCTTCCTAAGGGCAGCCAAAACCAATGTGAAAAATTGATTTTCTGCAGAAGGATTAGTAGTTGGGATATAGCTATAGGCATGCATTACATTACAATGATTCACTCTGCATCTGCACACCAAAGTTAGCTAAACAAATTCTTTATTAGCTCTTGCATAAGACTGATATTTTAAAGTGTACAGCAGACTGTAGTTTTTACTGTCAAGGTAGTGGTCAGCGAGTATGGAAATATCCATGAATAACTTGAAGCTGTGTTTTCGAAGTTCAGACAGCTTGTGTAGGGAGATAAATAATCTGTGCTAGGAAGGATGGATCTTGATTTATTTGTGTCTGTATTGTTGCACAAAGAGCCATTGCATACTGCTGCTGGAAATCAAACAAATGCAAATGCTGGCTGTGGAATGGAAATGACTGTGAAACATCTGAAGTCTCTCAGTATGACTGCCATAACAGCAGGGATTTGTACTTGTGTTTACGACAACACTGATAATATTTCCCCCCATTTTAGTGTGAACAGGAATTAGGAATGAGTGTGAAGCATGCTGTGTTAATGTTTCTCCCTTTTATTATGCTAATACCTGGCAAGTTTACAGTGTGTTAGCAATGTATGGAATTGTCATAAGCATGCTCAGATATTGTGAGAAGAGAAATATCCACAAGAAATACATTGCAAGTTTCCTAAAAGATGTTTTAAATAAATATTTTTTTCTAGACCCCTTTTAGACAGATATTTGCTTTATTATTATGGAAAGTGAAAAGCGCTACAGCTTGAAAAGGCAAAAGTGACCTTTTCTGAGCTAAATGTTAATTTATACACTGTGTGAAATTGGCTTGGACTGCTGTTTGTGGCTTTTTACACATTTAATTTACATGTTCACAATCACCAAGAGTCATTATGCTGATGTTTTGTTGCTATGACGCTTTTTACTGTCAGCATTGCTATAATGGGTTACACAAACAGCATAATCAGTTTCCAGGGTCTGGTGTATTACTGCAGTCCAGTCGTATTGTTGCATTAGTTTGGGCATGGTTGAGGACTTTACAGGAAAACTGTTGTTTTCCCATTGAAATGATTCCCACAGCAGTTTAGCAGCATGATAATGTACTGCAGTGTTTTTATGACGACCTCGACAATGAAGAGTAAGTGAGGAAAAACAAAAGGATGTAACATATGCACTTGGAAATTTATCATTTTTAATATACACTCAAGAGCACATTTGGCTTGTCCCAGTCCAACACTTTGAGGCTTTAATTTTTGCTTTGGAAGCAGAAAAATGCACTTCCTTAGATATTTTACATATTATAGTTGGGTGAAAACTTTACATTGTCAAAATGAAATAAACATTGCTGGAGCCAAGAAGTTATACATTATAAGTACAGGATTGCGGGGGGCTGGAGCCAGTCCCAGCTGACATCGGGTGATAGGCGGGGTACACCCTGGACAGGTCACCAATCCATCGCAGGGCCACCAAATTAAAACATGTCAAACATAAGATAAAGAAGTGTGAATAAATGAGTTTAGTTTTTCACTGTGAAAAATAATTGTTGGAGATTTTTCAGTTACACATACTGATCATCCACACAGCTTGGACAAAATGTAATTAAAGTCCCAGTTCAATTGATTTCTCTAAATCATAGAAGATTTACAGAATTCAGCAGAACACTGCTCTGTACCTTTAGCAGTTTGTCTCCGGAGAGCCTGCTGCGCCTTTGAAGTGAAATGTTTCATTGTGCTTTGAATTCAACATCAGGAGTGCATATGTTCTATGGGTTTAACTCATCGACATCATCGAGCACGATAATTTCTCCCCAGACAGCTTCGAACGAGCTGTAATGTCATATGCAGGGGATTGATGGCCTTATGCTTAGTGGGAAATAACTCAATATGCCATATAGAGTAAGATTTCAAAATGATGGCATGAAAAAGCACTGCTGGAATTCATTTTTGGTATTTTAGGACACATTACAGCCATGCATTTCTTAAAGGACATTTCTGTAGTGTACATATCTGATGCACATGTAAATAATTGTTATTTGTCTACTCTGTATATCTTGTCAATTTCTTATTTTTATATTTACATAGGTTTATGTTTATTGTTAAGCACCAAGTCACCAAAGCAAATTCCTTGTATGTGTAAATCTACAAATTTAGCAATAAAGCTGATTCTGATTGTCGAGTAGCTGTTGAATTGAAAATAACTTTAACCACAATTTTTCCTCAGCTGAAGGAATCAGATTGACAGGTCAGATATTATGCACAGCGCTGGGCTTTAATAACCCTTATAGAAATGGGAAGATTACAAAGCCTTCCTTCAGTGCAACGTTCAACAATCAAGCTCAGACATAGTGCCGGATTTTATTGTAAAACATGACTTCTTACAGTCAAACATGAAGTGAAAAATAAACCAGAGACTATAGAGGAATATGCATTTACTTGTCTTTAACCTTTAGGATCCTTCAGATGTTAACCTGCTGGGTGATTAATGAATTTCTATCATTACCTCCGCCGAGGATGTTTTATAGTTTATATTTGTTTTGTTTGTCTGTAAACAGGATTACAGAAAAACTACTGGCCAGATTTTCATGAAACTTGGTGGAAAAGTGTAGTATGAGCCAAAGAAGAACTCATTAAATTTTCACAGGCTAGATACAGAAATTATTTTTCGCTTTTCATTCATCACTTCTCAATTGTAACGCCTGTGTCTATGGCAAAATAGACAGTCACGCATGCAGATCATTGAAAACTGGAATATAATTGGCCTTGGCAGAGGTTTGCTCTCTCTGAGTACCCTTCTAGTTTCATATTTAAATGGAAAACAACAGTCAGAAAATTCAATACTATAACAGTATTAACAAGATTATTTTTCCTGTACGGTTATTCATCAAAATATGACAAATGTATGCATAATCATATAGAATAATCTAACAAATGTTCAGTGCAATAAACTGTGTTCCACTGTTTACCCTACATCAAACAAAACTCACTCACATAAACTTGGACAGCTAATTTTGCTAGTTTCTCATTATAATTTGTTTTGTTAAACAATACCACACTACAATCATTTTATCACATGATTCCATGATTATTGCAGAAGTTTGCATTTTACCAGGCTAAGGCTCAAATGTGGATGCAAAGTCAGGACCCACACAGTGGTTTCTCTGCTTTCTGGTCAACTGGTCTAAAACATATACAAGTGGCTATATGTGTTTTCAGCGGCCACTAGCAGTGCAGTTTTTAAATTGCCACCAGGAGCGTGCTAGTACACATTCTCTCATGAGTGAGCAAAATCCGACACATAGACAGACTCACAGGGAGACAGCATCACACAACATGCTGGAAATTCCCCCTGCAACGTTACAGTAGTGTTTTTATGATGTTAAACCAATACATGCTTGTACTGAATGGATCTTCCACTGTGTTGTTGTCCTGCACCATTATGTTGCATTATTTTATATTACCCTAACCCTAACCCTTTCACATAATACCAGTTGTAATGTGACAAGCTATACAACTATAGTATTTTACACTGAATAACATTAGCAACTGTTCGGCGTTAGCCAGCGAGCTAACGATTTCTAACTTCAGACAACTAAAGTACAAAATCAAAATATATTTCACATTCTGTGCAGTAAGTTTACTTGTCCAATAAGATGAAAGCCAACTCTGGTTGAGTTCTCTCCGTGACTCAAGCCTTTCTGATGTTGACTGTTTTTCCAACTGACATCGATTTGATTCTCCTTTGTCCTGACGGGCTTCAGCACATAAAACTTAGTTGTTGTTTTTTATCCTTACTTGGACTTTATGTTTGAGTCTGTATTTTGATTAGAGCCGGTTGTTTTGTGGTGTTAGTGGACTCCATTTTGTTAGCTGCGGTGTTGAGGCTCGGTAGCACGCATGCAGAAAACCCGACCCAATTCCTTCACGTAAGAAGCAGAATAGTGGCTGTTCCAAGCAACAGAGAAAACAGGCGTGATTCATTTCTATGTGAGGTTATGGCCAATAAATAGGCAGTGAGTGATTTATTGATAAGTGATTTAATTGAAAAAGTACATAATTGACTAATTGCTTTTTCTTTTCAATTTCAGCTACTTTTGTCATGTTTTGTGACTTGGTGTCCTCTTTGTGTTTTGTAGCTGAAACACTGCAGTGAGCCTGGACACATGAAGCTCAAGTTCCTACAGATCTTAATGGAATGCAGCCAGATAAATTATTAATGTCAAGGTGAGAATGAAAGAATGCAATACACACACATACTTTCTCAGCATTGTCTTGTCATTGGTCCAGTACAAATGCAGCTTTTTTCTATTGGCAGTCAAACCGGAGCTGCTGTCTGACAAACCTTAGTGTTAAAGGAATATTTCAACATTTTCGGGAGGAACACTTTTTTGCATTCATGCCGAGAGTTAGCTGAGAACATTGATAGCTACCACTCTCATATCTGTACTAAATATGAAGCTACTGCCAGCAGCTGGTTTGCTTAGCTTAGCATAAAGACTGGAGGAAACAGCTTGCCTGGCTCTGTCCAAAGTCATCAGAATCCACCTTCCACCACCTGTAAAGCTCATTATATCTCATTTGTTTATCCATACAAAAAACAACAGATTGTGTTTCTACTGGGGGTTATGTACAGGGCAATTTCTAGGTCAGGCACAATAACTTCCGGGTGTCTCCGCTAGTTGCCTGCCAAAGACTCAATGAAGTTGGACAGAGGCAGGCTAGCTGCTCCCCCTGTTTCTGATAATTTTCCTAAATTACACTACTTGCTATACAGAAATATGTATGGTAAGTATGGTATCAATCTTCTCATCTAACTCTAAAAAGGAAGCAAATATGCAAATTTCCCAAAATGTCAAGCTGTTCCTGCAAGTGTCTTTTTTGCTTGTTCTCACCCAGATATTCAACGGTTGACCTATAGATAAGGAGTTTATAAACCTTTTAGACTGCTGCTTCCCTCAATACAGCAATGTATCTCACATTTATTTATCTTTAAATGGTGTTTGTCATGGATGTCAATGAAGGGATTTTGGTTTACTTTTTAGAGCTTCACACATCGCTAACATAATAATGTCTTGGCACAGAGGGGAGCATTCCCAAAACACTCCTGATTTCACAAAAAATTGTTTGCCATGCTAAGATTTGTATGATGACATATTTAACAGCAATGATTGGTCAGAATAATACTATATGTAGTATTTCTCTTGAAGAGATATTTTTTTACTTACACTTTATGCACAATTCTTGTCATATTCATTTCACCCACAGTGCCAAAACAAACCCCAAAAGTCAAAGCTAAAGGGAATTAAATATTCTTTCAAAACAATAATATCCACACACAAATGTGACATGCGTATGTTGGATTTTAACCAGGGACTGAAAACTGCTTATGTTGCAGGACTATATATTAGCATTACACCTAGCATCACTAGTTTGCAAACAAACCATTTACATTATATTAACACAAACATTTAATGACCATGTCATTGAAGTGGCAGCCAAAAAATTGTTTGTGGAAGCTTATTTTGGGGGAAATGTGTTTTAATATTATATGTAAATATGGGAGTTCTTAAAACACATACCTTCTGTCAAGCTGAAGCAGCAAAAGCATGTTTTTTGGCCTCCTCTGATAGGAATGAACAAAGCAGGAAACAAAAATAGTGTGATCAACACTAAGAATGCAAAACAATTGAGAAAACATTCCAGTTTGAAAATAATTAGAATCATACTTTTCATTTCATATAGGTAGAGTTTGAACGTCATCCTCTGAAGCCTGAAGCTAATGTAAGTCAAAGTCTTCATTTAGTTTTTTTGTAGAATTATTTTAATTTAGTGATGTTGTAACATTATTGGCCAGGAAGCTTTGCAGTGTGCCAGCGTCCAACAATAATGATGAAGAGAACATGGGCTTTCTTAATAGCATAAATTTGCATTTTGCCCACTGCAGAACTTAAGGCAAATTACACCTCTCTGCCTGCCAGATTCTAGTTTGCTGCTGAAATAAATATTTCTAATGCTGGTTTTGACACTTAAATAACACAAGTCAGAGTATTAAATTTGTAACAAAGCTTTCTTTATTGATTAGCAGTTTATCCCTCCTTTGTCTTTGAGTCTGAGAGTGTTAAATGTCACTGTGGCTGAACCTGGTAAACTGCAGCTGACTCTGAGCTCTCTTTTGTGAGCTGCAGTTTGGAAAAAGACCTCTGCATTTCTTGTTCCAGTGTCACTTGTGTATGCCTTCTATGTATGAATTTATATTTCACCACATTATATGTCACATTATTATCATTATAGTATGAATGTTTTGGTCCACATCAACCAGGTACACAATAGTTTTTTAATAAAATGATATTCAAACAGCATCATTTTTTTTTAAATGCAACAAAAACATCAAACTTTAGAACCAAGTTCTCTCTCAAATCTACTCACCCTCTGCCAAAATGTACATTTACAGTATCAAAGAAGGATGCAACCAAACACTAAAATATTTATTATGCAGAAATACACTATCTAGGTATATTGACAACTGTTCCATCCCTTTTCCCAGTGGTGATCTTGTGTGATAAAAGTTTGATTGAAAACTATTTACTATAACTATTATAGAAAAATTCATGAAAACAACACAGGACTAAAAAATATAAATAGTAACTATCACTAAGAAAACTCTACATAACTAAATGCTCAGTGTTTGAGAGAATGTGCACAGTCATTATCTCATTTGTATTTTTTCCACATTTCTCTTTTTACTTTCTAATTACATAAGCATTTTCTGAGCTGTACTACAGAAGTGAGCAGGAAGCATCTTCAGCATGAAACAGCTTTTGGATTTGTAGAATTATAATGCATGTTGAAATCTGTAGAAAAAAAAGTTTAAATAATCACAGTGTAGGCTTAACCTTCATGTGCTCTAGTAGTTGCGTGTATCATATTGTCAACAGTCAAGAGGCTTTGTTTTTCAGAAAGCACAATATTCAGGTTGTTCAATCATAGCGTTTTGTAAATACTATTGGTGGCTCAATCGAGTCAATTACAAATTCCATTGTTATCGTCTGACTATTTCAGAGTGTGTCATTTATGAAAACTCAGACTGTGCTTGAAAACTCAGACATTGTGCTATTGTTGACCTGGTGGCATAAATAAGTTTGAATGAAGGCAGCACAGTTTGCCTTGGATGTGTATCAACTCTGCTGGTTGCACATGCAGGGTCACACTGCAGCATCAGCTAGCACAGATATATTTCCTATCCCTCGGCTTCCCGTTGCCTTTGTATCCAGTGCGGGATAGTATGAGCAGGCAGAGACAGAGCAGGAGAATGAATGGGCGGCAGAGGCAAACGCGAGGTGGACCAGAGAGATTAGCTGGGAAATTGACACTGACAAATCTCATACATTAAGGCTTCCTGGGAGGCAGCTATCGGTAGAAGAGACGGCAGGTACCATATCCCATAAATGGCACTGGGTTTCTTTAATACTCTGCAGCACATTGGAAAGCTGAACCACCCTGTCTTCTACAGCACGGAAGATAAGAAAGCCAGGTGTGCTGAGAGACATTTCATTTGACTAATGTGTTTACAGCTAGAATAATGAATAGAGTGAGGAAGATGAGAGTAATTAATTTGAGCTGTTCTAGCTAAATAACAAAGCAAATACGGGCAAAACTGTTTCATTCCCCTTTGGAACTAGAGTCGCCCCCCCCCCCCCCCTTTCTTGCCTGCTTTAATGAGATAAAGCCAGCCTTCTTTGATAAGGAGTCCTAGTTACTGTTGTTATTAGCCTAGTAGCCTTTTGATCTGTTCTAAGGGTGTTTGCATTTACATTTTCTTTATGAAAATGAAGGACAAAGTTGCATATAGTATTTGCCTACATTTTCCATCTTTTGAGTGTTCACAGAGCCAAAAATATGACCTTTAATTATTTTTACAAAAACCGAAATTCATATTCAGATATTACAAAATGTAATTAACCACTTCACAATTTTATCTTCATTAGGTATTGCTAAGACAAATAACATATTCTCACTCTGTAAATTTTTGAAAACTGTAGCTATGCGGTAGGTTTCTTTGCATCCTGAGAGCAAAGAGTCTAATTACCAAACATAAACATCTCTTCGGCCTTTAACACTGCACTACTTGATGTTTGCTGAGTGTTATTCCCAGCGACTTAACCCCGCTCAAGAGGTTTGTGGTGTGTTCCGTCTATCTTTATTTATTTTGGACAGTGAAGTTGTTTTCCTGAAAAAGGGGGCCTGCCCTTGCTGTTGCCTAGCAACAAAGTGAGTCCATGGGACTCGGCACCTTCAAAGATCTCTTCCCTTCGAGTAACTCGAAACTTAGACCATGATGTGTGAAGATACCTTTATTTCTGTAATGATGTGTCTTTTGCAATAATGGAGAAATTAAGATAGATATAAACTGTTATAGTAAGTTTTTAGGGAAACGTAATATTGCAATGTTGGGCCTAGTTGGGAGCAGAATTTCAGCATTTGCACTCACACTGTCTGAACAAATATATAGAACTACTAAGGGGTTGTTTGCAGTGTGGATCATGACTAATATCCACCCAATAGTCATATTTTTATCAATCAAATAAAAGATGTATATAATATTATATACAAAACAGAATGAAAACCATATCTTCACATGACCTCTTGGCTGGGACCCCATTGGATGGTCTCTTCTGAGCAGTCACAGGTCTCTGAGGTGTCACTATTCTGGATGTCAGAGGTCTCCCACTGACTAAAGATGGTCGTCCTCCCCTTGGTGTGTTGACAGCAGTTTGTTAAGTTGCATAGTTGCTTAAGTTGGTTGGCTTGGTTTGGTTGGCTCGATGTCGTCCTCATTATCATCAGCAGCAGGACATCCAGTGGGTGATTGATTCTCTGTGTACAATTCATCAACATTTTCAACCAATTCCTCATCACTCAAATCACTTGTATATGATTCCATCTCAACATCACTCTCTCTACTTTGGACAGCAACAATGGCATCATAGCACACTGTAGTAAACAATGCTCCTTGCTGGTGTCATTCTAAAACCGATATAAACCTTTTTGTGTGAAACATTCTACAGAAGTCACACATCCCCACATTCCCGATTATTCACACCTGCTATTTTGACCACCATTCTCACCCAATGTTGTAAAATTACAACAGACATAATAATAATAATAATAGACACATATAAGACATAACAAGCTAAAAATCTAATTTGATGCATGCATTCCACAATAACTTAGTATTTACATGATCTAGACATTCTAACAATCACAAAAAAATATTTCAGAGATTTTACTCACTTTAATGTTGTTATATCCAGTCCGATGAAACAAGGAGATGTGCTTCCAGGAAAGTTCGCAAGTCGTATGAGTTCATGGCCAGACCTATTCACACCTAAACAATAGGACCAATTGGCTATGTGAAAGTGGTCTTTCAAATTTTATAACCCAGTTGTAAATGGCTTCCTTGAAACTGTTGTTGTGGACATCTTCTCACGTGAACTTGATGTTACTGTCCACGAAGTAGATGTGTTCTGTGAAGGCTGTGAAGACAGCAGTTTATTTACATCTGAAGGATAAAGGACACTCGTTTGAGGATCACCCGGTAGACAGAGAGGATAGATAGTTTGAAAGAGGTGCCAAGGAAGCCATTTACAACTGGGTTGAGAAGCTGTTGCTGAACAGAGACCTACAATGCTGTCCTTTCATCACTTCCCAGGTAACTTAAAAAGCATTACCTCTTGGCCACAGGTGAAGATGCCAACGATGGTCGTTCAGACTTGGCCACAGGTGGTTCTAACGACCATAACGACTGTCGTTACAACAGCCAGGAGCACTAATACAAACCAGCGGTATCGATGATCTTGGCAAATGACCCCACAGAGGTTAAATAGCTGAGTTTCCCTACTAGTCAGTTCAGAACTGAAGAAGTTTCTTGGATGAAGGATGAAATGTCTTCTAGTATCTTTGACTTTAACCTTCTTTGGATCACTATGACCTGGATGACTGAGAATCTTCACAGACAGCAGCTTTATACAGACCATTTTTCACTCAGAATGGTGGATTCATCAGACTTTTTATTTTGGTGCTTCATCAAGGAGACAAGCTGTTAAATATTCATGACTGTGCTGTGTTCTTAAAATAAGGCTCATTAGCACTCCCTGCCTCTTTTCAAGTTCCGCCTTTCTCTTGTCACTCTCAAAAGAGCAACACAAACATGTTATTCATCTCTCACAATCTCTGCGTTCAAAGTGGGTTCCAATATTACACCAAACAATACCTTTATTTTGAAGTTAGACCAGCTCTAATACTATTACATTTTAATTCCTGCCCAAGTACCCGTACGAGTATTGATTGAATCAGTTTAAGTGTTGTAAAAAATGTTGTTGTAATAACAAAATTGATTTCTATAATAGAAACATATGCTCCTTACAGGATTACAATTATTTTATTTCCTCCCCAAAAATAAATCAATATGGGCAGAACACCGGCTCAGTGGTTAAACTTTGAACCTCCTTGTTTCAAACCAGCTGCCAGACTGGATTCTTCCTTTGCATGATCTCTCCATGTGTGTTTCCTCTGGGTGCAGAATTGGAGATGCAAAATTGGAATGTATGTGTTATACAGTATGTCTGTTAGTTGTGTTATTGACTGCCAGCCTGTCCATGAGGTGACCTGCAACAGTGCATGCTAGGATAGGCTTAAAGCCCCCTGCATCTCTGCACGAGATAAGAGGCATTGAAGATGGATGGAAATATAGATGGATGGATGGGTTATTTTTCATGACAGTTTATTTGCATTCAGGGTAGTGTGCTAATCAACTTCTCCTTGTGCAGTCTTGGCAAAATGACTGAACAACAGTTCTGGGATATGTTACCTAAACTACAGTTGCTTTAGGGAGGAACAGTAGGAACTAGCAGCCTGGTATCACCAAATGGTGTGTGCATAGCATGCCAGTGTCTTCAGTTATTTCGCATGTTATCACAACACCTTCGCGTAGTATAAAGAGCGACAAAGTCCATGTAGGAAGGATGTAAGGGTGGATGGACGAGTCAAACAAATACAAACACGGCTGTTTATTTCCCATGTGAAACCAAAAGGAATTTACATTACATAGTTAACTTACATCACATATGTAACTTACATCCGTAACTTAACATACTTATTTTAACCTAAAAAAAATAGTTTTGGTGCCTTAAGCTAACCAAACTTGTTACCATGACGAAGAAAGGTCATCTGACTATGATGAAGAAGGCCACCTGATAAAGGTCACCTGACTTCTTCCTTTCCTACACATCCAAAAGTCATTAAATGTGCCATCTGTAATGGTGTTAAATGACACGTGGAAAGCTTAAAATGCGTAGACATGACACACGAATATCTGACATGTTATTTAAATACAATCCCATGATATCACATTGGAACTATGCTAACTACTAATCAAGGAATTTGTTGTATTGTTAGATAGTAAATTTTGTGTAAAAATTCAGAAAGCAGTAAACAATGCCCAACATAAGTTCTCAGAGCCCAACAGGATGTCTTCAAATGGCTTGATTTTCCCCAAAAGTCCAAAAACCAAAATCGCTTCCATTTACAATTATACAAAACTGTAAAACACACTGGAACCAGTAGACCAGTAAATGTTTGACATGTTTGCTTGGTAAATGACTTGAATGACAAATAGATCAAATTTGTTGTTGATTGTCTGTCAATCAGCTTATCTTTTATCTCAGTTGGATGAATTCCGTGTGGAGACAAAGCCACCCTAATGTCAGCTCAGATTCTACCTCACCCAGATTCTGAAAATTCTTTTTAGTCTAAATCAAAAATATTTGTCCCATATGTCCCTGACACAAATAGAAGATACAGAGTGAAGAACAGCTTTGGGAATTCAAAGTAAGCACCATGGACAGTTCCTACATTTAATGTGATTCAATTCTACTTCATTGTAGATACACAGACTTTAAACGCTATTAATTTAATTTTAGTTGAGAATATACAATTAGAATTGTGTATTTTTGCTGTGGCAACAGTGTGAAATTGGAACACTTATTGAATATAAAACTTTAATCAAAAAAACACTTAAAATAGGTAAGTGGATACTGACTATACATTTTTACTAACCCATCAGTTGCATTCTGTGCACATTGTAAAAGTCCAGTTTGTTTCATTGTGAAAAGCTTCAGCATTAAACACACACACACACACACACACACTTGTAAGTTGTTTCTTCAGGAGGGAGACTCACCTCACTTACATGCTTGGTCCACCCAAAGGCAACCTATTAACGCCCATTTCATATTTCATGACCTAGTTCATCAAACTTTTATGCAGTCCTGCTTCTACACGTTTGTGTTTTAGTGCAAAGTTATGTCTGAATTCAAAGCTTTACCTTTAAGTCTCTTGCTGGAATCTTTAATACAACTCTAAATTGAAATGATAGACTTATTCTTTAGCAACCAGGTTATTCATGACCTCTATGCGTACATGCTCCCTGTGGCTATCCAACAGATCTTGGATGGATCATTAGATGTGAAAGGACATCATTAGTGGTGCGAAATGATTTCACAGAGCCAAAAACCTGCTGAAAGCAGACGATGGGCCAAACGCCAGTGGTTTCTCTCTCTCTCTCTCTGCGGACATGGCATTCAGGCTGCTGTGCCACACTAAAGTATGTCTTGGGTAATGTGCTGCCCTCAGATTGCTGGAGTCCTACTGAGCCTGTGGGGCATACGGTTAGTCTGTGCCCAGACCTGATATGCAGTGGCCAGAGCCAAGAACCAATAGATGAAGAGAAAGAAGAAGAAGAGATGGGGAGGAGTTTGGAAGGAAAATTATAAGCAGAATACAAAGGTGTGTGTCCATAGTGTGCAGAAAACAGTTTTAGAGTTTTTATGTGCTAAAACAGAATATATTTGCCACTGAATTATTGGAACCCAAATGTTTTTCCAGTGACCTATACCAGTATGGTTTCTTGTAGTCCTTGAGAGCTCCAATGGGAATGAAAGATATTTTTAAAAAGGGTGACTCTGAATGTGGCAATCAAAAAGTCAAAATGGCAGCAGCAATGCACTGAGAATTTGCAGCATTACTGAGTAAACCACTGGTGATTTCAGTTCGATTCAGTGTGACACACAGTTTTCTACGGTAACATAGCACAAATTCATACTTAGCCTGTGAGCCACTGCTCTTGAATTTTGGTCCTGCTGATTGCCTCCTGATAGTACCAGAGATATTTTTAGTTAACATTTGTAAAAGCTTAAAAAGTTTAGCAAAAGCTCAAACAAATTCTCGGTCTCCAAACTATAGTCAATGGTGGAGCTGTAGGCAATGCCTTTTGATAACATCACATATTACAGTCTTGGTTATTTTGTTTACCGGCTTAGGAAGAGTTACTCACTTTCACAAATATTGGTTGAAACTAGTCCAAATGAAAAATATATGTAAGTCAGAAAAATGGTTAGAAATCCAGTTGTATCTGTTTAGGTTGGATGAACTTTCTAATTTTTCAAGGAGGGGGAAATGTGTGTATTTGGCTGCATAACTTACTGCAAATGTACATAAGTCACTGCTGAGTCAGTCAGTCTCTACCGAGAATCTGTGCTCCATGTTAACATAAAATATACAAGTCCCTGCATTTTAATATATGTTTCGTTTATGTTGTGCTCTGTTATACCTTCAGTGTTGTGTGTAGCATGGAATAACATCACAGGTAGTGAAAATCTATCAGGTCAAGGACTGTCAACCTTGAATTATTATTTCGAACTTGCTTGGTTTCAACTAGCAAATGTTTTCATTGTTGATTAATCGCCAATTTATTTCTTGATTAATCGTTTTTGCCTATAAATTATAAGAAAATAGTGAAAAATACTCATCAAAGGTTCCTATTTTCAAGTTGGGGAAATAATAAATCCTCATATTAGATAGGCCAAAACTAACAAGTGTTTGGCATTTTTCCAAACAAAAGGATTTTTAATTACTATGAATCAATTATCATAAGTTCTTTTTAATTTTCTGTAGATCAAATAATCAATTGTCTGAGTAATTGTTTCAGCACTAGCTGGCTATACATGCGTACTAATTTTGTTTTTGTTATTAAGTTTAGACTTTAACTAGTATCCATCAATGTGTTATGAATGTTTTTTATGTGTAATCCACCAGTTGTCACTTGAAGTCACGTGGTATGTTTGTGTGTTTCGGCTAGATGTTGGCTGGCATTGGAAAACATGAAGGGCATGTTAAAAAGGAAGCACTGCCAGGAGTCCAGGCAAAAAGAGTGTGGTGTTTATTAACAAAACTGTTAATGAAATAAGAAAAGACAGACCGCAGGGAGTTAGACAAAATTAATGAAATATTTAAAGGGGAGAAGCAAAAACAAAATAAAAAGAAATCAAAAGCTATTTCCTACACCCTCACAGCAAGCTGACACC